CTGTTTGCCGTGGGCACCCTGAAACCTGAGTTAACGACCACAGCTGTACGTGGCTCCCCAGGGTGCAAATTCCAACAGCAAAAGCATATCTTCACTGCCGACCTTTCCGGCTGTGTCCCTATGCTGCATTCAGAACAGGCAGCATCCACACGACTGACTGCAATCCGACGGACACGCGCTCAGAACCCCAGCCCTGCGTGGGGAGGACGAGGGGGGCTTCAGACAGTCTGTGGACACAGCCCGCGATGTCTTCATTCCGTGTTCCCACCAGCTTTCTAAAGCTCGCTGAAATGAGGCTGTGCGACTGGCAGAGAGAGAGCGTTTGAGAGAGAGTCGCACCACACTCTACCAGGTGGGCTGTGGGCACCAGGCCCTGGCCCCTTTGTTTTTCCAGACATGGTGTGGGCGCTTGTAAGTACTTGATGCAGGTGAAGGACCGCTGAGCTCATGGGCGTGTGAAATCAGATAAAGACAGGACCACCCCTGCCTCGCCCAGAGATGGACCTGCCGCAGGCCACTCAAGTCGGTGGGTGACTCGCATTACCAGTGAGCGGGGTCACTTCCTGCCCAGCCCAATCCCGTGGAGTCCACTTTGGCTCACAGTGATCCCAGAGGACAGAGTTGAACTGCTGTATCTTCCTCCAAAGAGGAAGTGGGGTGGGTTGGGGGGGCAGGGGGGCGTTCCTTCTAACTGCCAAGCGTCCAGTTAGGGGCCCACTGCCTAATCCACTGTGCCACCTGGGCACACTTTCCCTCCTAAGGCAGTGTGGACTCTGAGTTGGGCAGTCGCTGGTAGTGCTTGAAGAGGCTGCATAGATTTTTTATTTTTTCTCTTTCACTAAGCATTTAAAGTTCCTGGTGGAAGCTCAGAAAGGGGAGCTGGTGGGGAGCTGTGGTGGGGAGGAGGTGATGGCTAAGAGGGACACCCTTTTCTAGCGGGCAGACATCAGAGCAGACGTGGGGTGTCAGGGGAGTTAGCTGGGGTTGAGAGCCGCCCATGAGAGGGAAGGATTCAGAGCACCCACAGAGGGAAGCCCTCTGCAGAAGGTTCTCCCAGCGCACAGGGAATAGCAGCAGAAGAGATCGGTGGGATCAGAGAAGAAAGATGAGGGATGGCACCCCAGAGGCTGAGGGCAGGTCAGTGACTGATGTGCTGGGGCACAGCAAGGGGAGGGAAAAGGGGAGGGCATGTGTGCTGCACCCAGGAAGCCTGTGAAGCAGTCCTTGGGGAAATGAGGGAGGCAAAGGCAGGTGGGCCAGGACCCCGGAAGTCCTGCTGCCCTAGGGGGGTCCCCCATTGAAGTGGCATTCACTGGCATAATTTCATCATTGTTCCCAGCAGCTCTCGATTGGTGGAGAGTGTGGATGGAGGGGACAGCTATCTGGGCTCACTCAGTGTTGGAGTCCCACCCCACACCTGTGAAGGGGCGATGGTAGCCACGAGCCATGGGCTCTGCCCTGAGGGGGGAGGAACACTCTGGAAAGACATACGTGTGGAAGCTTTTGTAATGGTGGCTTCTTGGGCCTGGCTTCAGTGGCACCGCGGCACTCATTTAAACTGCCCTCTGTGGTATCGGCAGGGTACGTTCTTTGTAGGCAGAGTGTGGATTCTTAGACATCCAGGGAAACAGAGCTGAAGGAATCATGCATGGACTCACTCGGGTCAGGAAGAGGCTCTCTGCTCCCGATAGGTGCAAAGTCTGGGAGCAGCCTTAGAAATCCACACGGACAAGTTCTCGAAGAACTGACTCGATGGCAGTGAGTTTCGGCTTTTAATTCAGATGGAAACTTCTGAGCAAAGACATTTCTAGCACCGACTATAAGGTCTCCCTTAGGGATCACAATAGAACATCACCAGGAGGGATCCCCTGGAGGAGGAGGCCATCATGTGAGGCAGAGGGCCAGTGCGGGTGGGGGGGACCCTAGTGCGATGGATCATACAGTAGCCGCCACAATGATTTGAACATGATGTCCATTGAGAGAAGGACGTCGGTCCAGGCAGGCTTTGCTGTCATGATGACCGGACGGCACCTCTCTCTCTCTAGTCTGACAGGCGGCACAGGGGTCAAAGGCTTCAGCTTGAAATAACAGAGAAGGATGGTGGTGGGACCCCCACTAGGAGGATACTGTGGGAGTCTACTTCTGTCCACATCAGAGCCACAGCCTTGACTCCCGAGGAGAGTTCTACTGAATCAACTCCATAGCAGTGGGGTTTAATATCAATTTAATATCCATCCATCCATCCATCCTTCCTTCCTTCCTTCCATCCATCCATCCATCCATCCATCCATCCATCCATCCATCCATAATATCATCTATCTATCCATCCATCCATCCATCCATCCATCCATCCATCCATCCATCCATCCATCCATCCATAATGTCATCTATATATCCATCCATCCATCCATCCATCCATCCATCCATCCATCCATCCATCCATCCATCCATCCAT